TTGTCTGTTGGTGCTGCATCAACCAAGTATACCATATCACCATGTCTAAACAAACAAACTAACAAAATCAGGGCTGCTTGCGGGACAGTGGTAGCAGGGGGGGGGGGCTGGTGTTGAGATGAAATGGGGGTCTGCCCCCCACCCCACCCCACCCCAAAAAAAAAATTAAAAAAAATTGAAAATTACAAGCCCGGACAGTGCGTTTCCCACAATAACGTTTGTTTATTGTAATAACGTGTGTATATTGCCTGATGATTGGCAGTATATTTCTGTGAAACACATGTCGAACTGATTTTTCAGGCATTCTTACCAACGAAAACTTGCTATTATTGCACTGGCTCAGACACAGAACAATAAGAAAGAACAAAAAAAACCGGGCATTACTCTGCTTTAAAAATCGCTCTGGCACACTTAAAACTGCACCATTGCAGAAGTCCCCAAACACTTTCAAAACTAATATGTTTCACGTTTCAAAACTGATAATTTCGGTTAGCCCAATGGTATTCCCTAATGAACAAAATTTTGATCTAGACAAGTTTAAATAAAAATTTCATCACAGCTTGAAAGAGCATCACAAAATTAGTAATATTCCGAAGTTTCGTTGCGAAATGGTGTAAAATGCGGATAATATAGCCCTGCGAAGTTTGCCGTTTTTCAGTCATTTTGTATTACGCACGGGCAATTGATACCGCTTTCTGAAAAAAGGTTTCAATTTCCCATGCATACAAAATGACTGAAAAACGGCAAACTTCGCAGGGCTATATTATCCGCATTTTACACCATTTCGCAACGAAACTTCGGAATATTACTAATGTTGTGATGCTCTTTCAAGCTGTGATGAAAGTTTTGTCTAAACTTGTCTAGATCAAAATTTTGTTCATTAGGGAATAGGTCCATTAATGGAAGTGCCACGTAAAAATGGAGAAATATATTTCAACCTGATACCGATAGTCGAAACATCGAATTTCGCTACATGTATTTTTCAAATATTTGCATCCCTGCCAACAAAAGCTTGTGTTATAACATGCCTGTAGAATGTAGGTAAGGAAGTTAAGGAATTACTCCAAAGTCTAAAGGGCTAACTCCAAACCAAAATATACACTTGAGTAACTTGTGTAATTCAAAACTGCATGAGTTGAAATATTAATTGTGGAGTTACATAACTCCAAAAACCATTTGGGACTATAGGACGGTATAACTCCAAAAAGCATGAAAAATCTAGGTATCTAAGCCTTGGGTTTAGAGCATCATTAATCCGTTGAGCCGCAATGCACCCCAGTGCGGTCTACTTTTTTTACTTGTTCAATGCCTGACGATTTTACTCGTCAATGAGGAAGCTCTGCAGTTTAATGGGTTAACCAAAAAACTGACAATGTCTCTAGTTAACCCATTGAGCTGCAAATCTGCATTGCGCCCTACTTTTTTTTACTTGTCCAACGCCAGACAATTTCACTTGTCACTGCATGGGGAAGCTCTGCAGCTTAATGGGATAATGTATTGGGGCAGGGTCTTAGTTAGAGGGCCGTGTTATCGTGGCCAAAAGTGCAAAAACACGGCTAGATAAAATGAACGTGGCTTCACTATTTATATAAGGCCGTGTATAGGTTCATAAAATAAGGTGGTGCTATACTTACAACAGACAGAATTTCTTCCTATTTACATCAAGAAAGTTTGTAGAATCTACTGTTGTTGTTGAATTGGCAAAAGTGATCCGTGATGTTTTAACGTTTTGATGGATAATGGGAACTGTATGGTGTTAAAATGGTGTTTTAATTATATACCCCCAATAGTTGTTGAAATAACTTCGTTGTCATGCAGTGCGCAATATGAGCGTATGCTCGCCTTGTATTTGGTTGCAAAGCATAGAACAACCACAGGCATTGTTGTTGGCGAGCATAACTAGAGCCATTATTTTGCTATTCAAAGTAATTGACATGTGCACGCCCTGGTCATTAGAAACACGCCCAAGATCTAAAATCCTAGCTAAGACCCTGATTGGGGAGGGGGTGGGCTGCTACAGTATGTAATATCTGTCTACAATACTCACAATTCTATATTTTTGCTTGCTGTGGAAACCTTATCAAACAGACAAGAAGGTGATTCTGAAACGTAACCTCGCATACTAACCAAATTTGAAGCAAGTGATTGCAGTAAGGATTTTTAAATCAACATTCTAGATAATCTTATTGTTTGTCAGTGATGTTACTCTGAGTGTATATCCACACCGGACAAGCTTGAAAAATATGCCTGGCCATGGTGGGAATAGAACCTACGACCTTTGGACCCTTTCCAAAGGTTGTAGGTTCGATTCCCACCATGGCCAGGCATATTTTTCAAGCTTGTTCAGTGTGGATATACACTCAGAGTAACATCACAAACAATCATATTCACCTGAGTACACAACACCAACACAGAAAATATCAATTTACTAATAATGAATCAAAAACAGAATAGATACCATAAACAAGCAAACAATTTTGTGTGGCAATTATTGTTGATTTCAACTTACTCTTCACTAAAATGTACTAATAGTTTTACTTACCTCTGATTGAATGTTTTTGGTTTCCAAGTTAGTTTAGTTAAGGTTACCATACCTAATATAGTAGTACACTAGAGCAATAAGACGTTTAAGGTATACTAGAGCAATAAGACTTATAAGGGATGTCCCACACTGGATCTCTAGAAAGAACAGTTTATAAGTGATAGAGCTATCCAGTGTACAGTTAGTTCTAGTTCATACCTTATATTTAAAGACTTCAAGAATTGTCTGGAAGTTTTAGAAATCTTCTTCGTATTGTTTCTTTCTTGGTAGACATTCCATGATCGAGATGGAAGCTTAAACTCTTGTTCAATCTAGCAACATTATATAACAGCAACTTAAGTCACTTTTCCTTTATGACTGAATGAGGGCATGCATGAGGATCAAAATCATGGAATTTTTAACAATAATTTCTAACGCAACATATTACTACAACCAAAGTTTGTTACAGTTGATTTCACATAACTTTTGCCAAAATGTTCTGAACTTTGTTTCAAAGTTTGCAAGTCCATTTCGAAGTTCCAAACTTTGAAGTTTCCAAATTCATAAGTTCACAAACTGGTTTGTAAGCTAAGTATTTGATTGGCTTCTTTCAATTCAAGGGCCAATCAGCGGTCTTGTTTACAAACTGGCTTGCGAATTTGAATGTTGAACTTGTGAGCTTCGAAACAAACTTTGTGAACTTCGGAACGAAGTTTGGAACATTTTGGCAAACGTTTTGTGAAATCGACTGTATAAAGCTGTTCATAAATGGTACGCTTGATACATTATACATGTATCAGTTCTGCTCATAACAAAGGGGGAACCGCAGATATAAACATTGCCCAAATGGAACATTCCATCCCTGCATTGTTACTGGATGGCACCATTGGTATTGTTATGCAAAGGGACATTGGTAGTAATAGGTAGTCATATGTTCATAATTTATTCATGTTGATATATATCACATTTATTTACATAATAATTCATATGTTTGCTCAACTACCTTTTCCAAAAATTTCTTGACACTTTCATTGGTTGAAGTACTAATACGTTTTGTGCCGTGTCTTGACTGAACGCGAACCACAATCTTGTAAAAATGAACAGAAACATAAAATTTATAACAGGCTAGCTATGTAGCTCGATTTGGGTCGATATATAAGACTCGAAGATATATAGTTACTGGCTGTCTATGTACAAAATTACCATTATAAAGAACCAGAAAATATAATAAACTGCTTACCGGCTTGCTCATTTCTGTCTATAGTATTTGTTTGAATTTATTTCAAACTTTTAAAGTACAAATTGAAATAAAAATATTTTCTACTTTGAATTTTATATTTTTGTCACCATCAAAGGCGGCGCCTGCCATGCTTTAAATAATTCTGCGGTTACGTCATGTAAGGTCTAACAAAATGTTTCGCATGCACATAGATCTATTAAAAAAAAACGACGCCATTTTAAAATCGCAATGCAATGCGCAACGGGGGGATTAAACATTTTTCCGACTAACATATTTGCCAGTTATCTCTCATTTTCCAGATTTTTTTTCTCTGAATGAAATTTGCCCAATTTTTTTTTGGGAGGGGCACCTTTATTTTGGGGGTATAGCCCTCTATTCCCCCTGTTCCGCCGCCACTACGTGAGATAGACGAGAGACAGTTTTGCCGAGTCATTAGCTTAGTCTGTTAGCCTATGTACACGCGCACATTTAGTAACTACTTTGGTTTAATCTCTGTCGACATATGATTGACTTGTTTTTGATGCTACTCTGAATGTATATCTACACCGGGCAGGCAGAAAAGTTAAACTGACCACGGTGGGAATCGAACCCGCGACCTTTGGGATACTAGTCCAATGCCACACATTGGTATCGAAGGTGCTAGACTTAGTTCCGAAATACCACACACTCGAACAGACTTGGCCTCGTAGCTCAGTTGGCAGACCATCGGACTTGAGTATCCCAAAGGTCGCGGCTTCGATCCCCACCGTGGTCAGGCTAACTTTTCAGCCTTGCCCGGTGTGGATATACACTCAGAGTAACATCAAAAACAATATATTCACATGAGTACATCAAAACACACACAAAAAAGATACACTTTACCGTTTTTTAAAATTTAGAATCTCTGAAATGGCATTTCCCCCATCCTTGAAAGAGGGTGGGAAAGGGAGAGTATGGATCACGTTTCACAACGAAAAAAAAGCTGTTTCACGATTCACGTGTCTTAAAAAAGCAATTTCACGGAAAAATAGATTCTCATAAAATAATATAATAATAATAGGTTGATTAAGACTATGTGTAATGCATGGTACAGTATCTACGGTTTGAGTTCACTCATTTCTCTACCTGTCAGTTAAAAACTACATCATAACTTACAAGTTTGAGTGCGTGACCTCAGCGCCAGGAACCTTGTCCTCACCGCCAGGAACCTTGTCCTCACCGCCAGGAACCTTGTCCTCACCGCCAGGAACGTACCTTGTCCTAACCGCCAGGAACCTTGTCCTCACAGCCAGGTCGGCCAGGAACCTTGTCGTCACTGCCAGGAACCTTGTCGTCACCGCCACGAACCTTGTCCTCACCGCCAGGAACCTTGTCCTCACCGCCAGGAACCTTGTCCTCACCGCCAGGAACCTCGTCCTCACCGCCAAGAACCCTGTCCCCACCGCCAGCAACCTTGTCGTCACCGCCAAGAACCTTGTCCTCACCGCCAGGAACGTTGTTCTCATCGCCAGGAACCTTGTCGTCGCCGCCAGGAACCTTGTCCTCATCGCCAGGAACCTTGTCCACACCGCCAGTAACCTTGTCCTCAACGCAAGGAACCTTGTCCTCACCGCCAGGAACCTTCTCCTCACCGCCAGGAACCTTGTGCTCACCGCCAGGAACCTTGTTCTCACCGCCAGGAACCTTGTCCTCACTGGCAGGAACCAACC